ATTTGCTATTTTAATTTTCGCAAGATCCTATGGAGCAGTGGCAAACGGCGCCGCTACCATTCGACGCCACGGTCATCCGTTGGAGTGCCTTTCATGACAAGTTAATTTACTGTGATGAAATCACCTGTGGCCATCCACGGATTTGACGAATTATATGCCAATATTTTGTCATTTTTAATTTTAGCATTCCAATTCGTTCCCATCGGCAATCATTTGTTTTATGAAAACGTTTTCAGTAACATTCTTGGTTGAATGCATGATAACTAGCCTTTCATTGCCTGGGGGCACTCTCAACTCAAAGGGCATTCCATGAACCTATTCATCAGCAATGTATGCAGAAAGCTATGACTATGAAAGTGTCCTATTTTCGAATCAAAAATAGTTTTGTGAGAAAAACGGGGGTTATCAGAGCGAATCGTGCCTAACTCCATGCATGTCTGGGCTAGTTGGGGAAAAATCGGCTTATGAGAATTCTGCCTGTCGACGAGGTTTCCGGCCGCTTCTTTTATTACTTTTTCTAACTAAAGCAACGCAGAAAAACAATACTGCAATGGAAGGTAATAGCTGGGTAGTCAAACCGTCAGCAGTCCCAAATCCTGAAGTGTGTTTTGACCCCTTTCTAAGCTAAAGGTATGGACTTTGTGTAGCTATATAACGAATTTTAACACTTGCCGGTAGGTTAGAAGGAATTTCTATCGGTTTCTAATTTCCTAGCCCTACACCGAACTTAAAGCTAGCCATTTATTTAACAAGTTTTCCTGGATTCAGATCATGATTGATGGCTTTTTGGGTGAACTGGAGAGCCTTGACTCAAGCACGAGTTGGCCTTTTGAGACACTGGCCAAATTTCAGAGTATAGTCAAATACGCGGCGTATCCTAAAACGGACTTAGTTCACTCGTGGGGCTTCAGAGCTTTCAAATCAAAGCTGATACATTGGCCTACTGCCGCAGAATCGTGAAATTTCCCATTTGCTGACCACGCGAGTTATTCGGCTTTTGACTTCTTTGCAAGTGAGCTCCCCAAAAGGGAAAACTAAACTAGGACTAAGGGAACTTTCAAAATATGACTGTATTATTTTTTCTGAATAAATCGTCCACATTGGAAGACGTTGCTCCTACGTCGCAGGTTATTTTCTCTGTTTGTTGACTGACTTTAATCGAATCCCAGCGAAATCCAACAGTTGTTTTGTTAATCTTCGCTGTTGACAACTTAGGAGGCTACAGTACGAAGACTACGTGATCGCTTTGAAAGAGTTCCTGTAGTAAAGTGGTGTTTTCTGCAAAAACCAAACCACCGTGGGTGTTTACCGTACCTTTATAAAGCCTATGTAACTCAAAAAGCACGGCCAAAACAAAGGATCACTGTTACCTGGATTGAGAAACAGTTTCATCACGCTTGGAGACATGATACAATATGTAGAAAATATATTTATTGGACTTATTCCAGGAAATGGACCTATTGACACGTCTGGGATGCACAATGTTGAAACGTTTTTTGCTTTACCTATTATCGATGATTTTTACGATATTTCAGTGGTACTTCCTCGAAGTTTTGATATCTTTGAAGCCCAGAGATCTATACCCATCAGTAAACAACGGCAATCATAAATAATAATAACAGTCGGAATCTCGGAGATGGTCTCTCGAAGCCTTTATAAAGTTTTTTTTTTCGCAACCAAGAGAACACAAGTCATCCCAGGCGGATTTATTCAAGACGACAAACTCTGCATTGGGCACGGCCCTCGTGTAGAGTGAATTCTCATAACTTCTTGTCAGTAAGTAGTAGTAGCATTGGATATGTTTTACCTTCAAAATTAATGTCAACTTCTATAAACCACATGGACCACCTTTGTGCTGCAACTTCCTCCGCAACATTGCGATTTTCACGCGCCACTTCAGTTGCTTTTAGGGCCCGTTCGCCAATAATGTAACAGGAGAGGCCCATTTTAAATGGGTACTGACTCGATGCCCAGGCCACCCAAAAGAAATGATCAGTTTGGGAGTCCCCGCAATTCACCCGGGAAAGTGCTAATGGGAGTTACACCCTTCTGTAGAAAGCCTGCGTTTGGGAGTAACATTTAACGCTCGCTGTGGCCATCGAAATTGTAACTCTAGCTACTCTTCTTGAGTAGAATTGAAAAATTCCAGGAGCTCGCCCTTCGTTTCAATAAGTTGGACTTTTTTCCCCACCCTTTCTACCTTAGCTATTTCCGATTCATTGAAGATTGATGATACCCGGTGCAAGAGAGTGATTCAAAAGAAACTTTGAAGTAAACTCATAACTTGTATAAAAACGTACTGCTTGGCACCAAGTGGTTTATTTTCCCAAATCAGATAGTCCATAAGTCAGTGGCTAGAGGGTTCAAGTTATTACGTTCAGTAATTTGGCTTATAATCCTACAACATCACTTACTTCTCCGCTGTGGTCGATTATATCTATCCTGAGTAGGTCTGACTCTTTGTCCGAGGAGAAAAGTAATCAGAGCCGATTACTTTTTTCTTTTACCCTTTTGAATGTGAAAGACAAAGGACCAAGTGGTCGTTGATCAATTCCCTCGAGAAGCGGATTGCTCGGCTTCCGTTCAAAGAGGGATTTGAATACGTAGAAATGGGATGCGGACCAGCAGATGTCCGACTTACTCACCCCAGCGCTCCCATTCAAGTTTATTGTCAATTCCATTCAACTGAAAGACCGGGTCTGAGAATCGAAAAGCATCCTTGGTTTGGGACTTGATTCCTCGAAGGTAGTGCAGCTTCTGAGCTGAGTTAGGAAGCCACCACAGCCGTACATACCGTCGCATGTATTGAGGGAACGGACAACAGAACGATAAATTTCGACGTTTTGGTGATTAAAGACGACTCTCCAAATACGAAGTGAATGATCGAGAACCAACAAATCCGATGAAATGTCTAGACTTATTTTGTTTTCTTTGTTTTTGTTTACCGTTACAATTTCCTATGCCGACCACATCATATGATAGATGTAGCCTGAGCCAAACTTTGCTGTGAAGTACAGCAACCATATAACTCCAGGCACCGGACTTTTCCGTTTCAATCCGTGTCAGTGCTGCTTGTGCTCTCTACCATCTTGTTAGCGGTGTTTTTACCATAAATTTCTCGAATTCCTGCACCTTTGGCTCGTCTTAGGTGTTCCTATAGTGTACTATATGAATAGGGTACCCAAAAGGCACTGATTAAGAGTTTGAGTCCCCTCAAAGGCCGAAGTCACGGCTTTCTAGGAGTTTCATCGTCAGCGGTCTCATATGGTGGGTTAGGTATGAGAAACAATTTGATATACCTCGACATTAACCACGAAATGGGCATGAAACTGTGATTTTATTGCAAATGCTATCCAACAGACAAGAGGCTTTCTCTTGTGGCCGGTCATATATTACGAGACTCAAATTAATGCAATTGTTCCAAGGCGCCACAAAAATACCTATTCAGAGGTTGAACTAATTATTTTTAATTGGCATTATAATAAAGGGACGTCCAGCATTGGGATACGAGCGGAAGCTTGCCTCGACGACAATCATCAGCGCTTCAGAAATTGTCGTGGATCAAAGATCTTCTTGAAGACTTTCAGCCCTTTCCGTTTTCGGACAAGTGCTCCTTCGGGGACGCAAATTTTCCCTGCATCGTAGACGGTGCTCCAACGAATATCGATTTATGGCCGCTTGCAGATCCGCGCAGCGCGGATGCAGCTTGTGATTGGTCCTCCTGACTTTGGACCAATCAGAGGCATCTTTCGTTCATGTAGCTCATTTCAAAACGGAATTAGAGACTCATTCAATAAGTGTGAATGCAGATATTCAGAAATACTTTGCATATCAAATATAATATGCAGCATACATAATCGCTTTATTTTCAGCCAATCAAGTTGTCGAATTCACCGTGTGCAGTTGGATATTAACGATATTATCATATATATTTGTGGCCGTTACACTTCCACTTTCTGCTTGTTTATGTATAAAGGTATAGTTTTACATCGATCTTTATTTATAATTCAAATTAGGGTACATGCCAGGCTTTAATATATTCATGGGAGCAATCTTCAGCCCGATATACTATCTTTTTTGCCGACATGCCTTTTTTTACCCTGCATGCATGTCTTCAGCATGCATGCAGCTATTTTGTTTTTTGTAGGGTTTGATTTTGGACTGACTTTGACAGTAGTGGACAGGTTTTATGGTTAAGACAATGTTACCGTCTGAATACTCTCCCTTTGTTAAAAGGCAGCAGAAAAACTGCCTTCTGATCAGTATTTAAGCCGGCATCGCAGAGAATACCAAAATATCGAAACATTTTGAGCTTGGACGAAGGGGACTTAGAGAATCCCCTTCGTCCAAGCTCAAAATGAGCTTAGACGAAGGGGAGTCTCTAGGTCCCACTGGCAATCACATTCAAACTCTGAAGTAAGAGAAGGAGGGACGATGTTTGCTATCCTTATTTAGACGAAAATCGATAATTACGCGGACCGTAATGAAATACGACAGAAAAGGGCTTAGGGAGAAAATGAAATCATGAAATCTGCTTGATCACCGAAAGGAAACTTTTCTAAAAGACCACACGGACGTTTGCCCAATACGCAGAACCAGTTTTTTTTTCAGTTATTTTTCTTGATTTTGATTTTTTCGGGGAGTCGTATGTGGGGTAGAAGTGTACATGGAGGTCAAGGGGTAATAGATGTATGAATAAGGGGTTTGCACGGCGACTGTAATAGTCCCATTCAAGTGCTCAAAAAATACGGAAGAAATTTTCGTTAAACAGTTTTCAAATGAAACGGTAGCATCGCATCAGAAAACGCAAACTAGTAATTTATTCTGGTATATATTTTTCCATATCTGAACAGAATTTTTTGAAGATTAAAAAAGATTGTACAGGAGTTATGGGCCAGAGATTACACTGATCTTAGAAAACGATACTGGCAGCAAAAAATGGCTGCTTTCAGGTAGTTCAAGAATATGAGCGTGCAGTTATATTTCGACTCGGTCGGTTGATGCCAGGAGGAGCAAAAGGTCCCGGTTAGTGATGTGACAACAATAATGAAGAGTAATCTAATAAGATTTCATTAATAACTAATTCGTTCAGGTATATTTTTCATACTGCCATGTATCGACTCATATAAAAAAATTGATCTCAGGGTGGTCTCCTTTGACGTTCCTCCTCAAGAGGTAAGCTGTGATCAATCTTTTATTCTTACATCACATCGGACAGCTAGATGAGAAATCTCTTAAAGCAATCTATAGAAGGTTTTGCATGATGTCCAGAAATAACTGTCTTTCCGAGACATTATAAGACCCTGCTCCCTCCCTCCTGAAGAATGTACAGGGCTTCATCACGTCCCCTTCTTCTCCTGCTGCCCTGACCTTTTCAAGCTCTTTCAGTTTTTCTCCTCCTCCTTTTCGAGAACCTTTGGGGGGAGGGGAACGGGGGGGGGGGGGGGGNGGGGGGGACGGGATGGAGAAGTTGGTAAATATGGTAAAAGTAGACCTTGATACTCATACTTTAATACTTTCCCATGGAAACTCCTACTTCCCGTTTTGGCTAATTGTATGAGCTGGGGCTGGAATTGGTGGCTGCTTTGAAAAGCAAAAAAAGGATCTATACCAAGGATCAGGTTCAAACGGTTCAATTTATCGATCAATAAGCTAAGGTCTCGGACTGCCCCATTGTGAAGACCTGGAAGGTCTTTATCGTCAAGACCTCTCAGACTTCGGTCTACACCCATTAATGATCCCACTAGTTCAGAATCTTTCACGTACTCCTCCATAAGGTTCCTTTTTTCAGATTCTTTCAAAAGACTCCGTCACTGTAGCAGTTGATGCCGTTGTTTACTTTCGGATTTCCAATGCCACAATTTCGGTACGGTACTTATACCTACAATTACAGTTTCTTGCACCATTGTTTCTTCTTACTGCCTTCGAATTGGCTGGCACTTTGAAAGTTTCTATCATGTACCTTTACAGTACCCCATGGCTTCGCAGTAAAGTACAGCTGATTTCAGGTAACGAATGTGGAAGACGCTTCTCGTTCAACGAAATTATTAGCTCAGACAACATTACGGAACATCCTCGGTACAAGGACCCTAGCCGAAATGTTGTCAGATCGAGAAGCCATTTCACATCAGATGCAGGTAGGAAAGTTTGCCTCATGTCTTTCAAATAGTGAAGCAATTAGCTAACTGGTCTGTTTATTTGTTTATTTACTGGTCAATCACAGTCGTAAAAAGCGACAGAACATTTTAACCAAATGATGATTCAGTTTTACTTTCGATCAAGGCTTGAAAACATTGGCTGTTACAAGTGGATCGGATTTTCTTGAAGCCGCACTATAAACCCTTTCGAGAAGCATCGTTCCGCTTCACTAAAAGTTACTAGCAGTCGGATAGATGCCTCCTGTTTCACTTTTCAGTCATGTCCACGATTTCTCCCCTTTCGTATTAATTCATGTAGTAGTAGTAGAGGAAATAGTAAAAGATAAAAAGGGAACTTGATGACATTAGTCAAATCCGCTCGCGGGATGCGCCCCGCATTCGACTTCCGTTAAAAACCGTTGTGGCGTAATGAATGCGTATGCGGCCTACACAATAAAATGTGGTGGTCAGTTGATGTTGTACATGGCGCGAGCGTGAATCTTCCAGACGAGTCTAGGACTAACTATACGACCCCGAAGGGATAGAAGCCACGGTTGGCCTAGGAGATTAAGTACAACTCCGGACCATGTGTGTGATGGTGTACGCCGTTTCCACTACACCACCTCGCTTTGATCAAAGTAATAGCACTTGTCAACAAGTAATAGCACCTAGTAGATGAGTACACTACGGTACTTCAGCTTATAAAATTCTAGGGTTACTGATGTTCATTTCATTCGTAACTCTATCCCCTAGGGTCCCAAAACATATGTTTGCTCAGTTTTTTGTTTACCAACAAAGAAAGTCACCGTCGAAATGGCAATTTCCAGAGCACACTCGATGAGGCGACAGATCCATGGGGAGTTAAAGTGGAACGAGTTGAAGTGAAGGATGTCCGACTGCCGTTGCAATTGCAACGAGCGATGGCTGCCGAAGCTGAAGCAACTCGAGAAGCTGGAGCCAAGGTTTGCCTCGGAAGCACTTATTGGCACAATTTTTACTCTTACTGCAGTAACAGTCAAGGAAAATTTCCTGACGTTTAGGTAATTGCTGCTGAAGGAGAACAAAAAGCTTCGCGGGCCCTACGCGAGGCTGCAGAAGTGGTGGGTTACTATTAAACTTCTCAGGCAGTTTTTAAAAAAACCGAATTTCAGATTGCCTCATCACCATGCGCAATACAGTTGCGTTACTTGCAAACGCTAAATAGTATTAGGTGAGTTTTCAACCTTTCTTGACATTTCATGAACGGAGGCGGTGTAATGGCAAGTGGCGCACTATCTCACACGCATGGCCGCGGGTTCGAATTTCGGATCGATGTCCGCCTAGTCTAACCAGGCTT